AGTTACAAATTAAATGCAAATTTTATACTGGTAATGCAGGCAATCCTATGTTTGCAGATTACTGAGATAGTGATTGGTATATAGTTTTATCACCGACCAATTAATCTGTGGAATTAATTTTTGCTCTCCGGAGTGAAATGCTTCAAGTGTTTTCGTTTTTGTTTTTTTTTATATTAACGAATGGCACTTACTGAGACCTCACCTGTTGTCACCACCCTCTTGGCTCCTGGCAACAGTGGAGGCCGCCACAGGTAACCCCGGGTTGGAAGAGACGGTGACATTCTCAAAGACGACACTCGCGCTGCTGTTCAAGGAATGGCCCAAGTAGCTCGGGAACGTCTCGTCGGCGATATTCCTGAAGTCTTCCATCATCCTGCACACACTGCCTGGAACAGCACTCGGCCCGGCAACACCATCAGCGCCGGTCGGGCAGCATCTGCAAGCAGGATCCAGACAGCTTCACACTTACACAAGGCAACGCACTTCGTTCACACATCACTGCCAGTATTCGTGGGCAACCCACAATCGTGCCCAAGAACCGCTCGCAGTCCTCTCCCACCAAGGCTTTTGGGGGACACGCTTTCACAGCCCTTTCCGAGCGCCTGAGAAGAGCGGTGCTCCTGCGAGTCACAGGAGCGCCGCTGCCAGGCGTGCCAGCCTATATTTAGCCTGCAAAGCCGCCCGGGCCGAGGCAGTCCCAGCCCGCCTTCCTCCCTCCGCGCCCCTCCGGGGAGCACCTGAGGCGACACCAACTCGGTGTGACCGCGGGCCGCGCCGGGAAGGCTCCCGCTGCTCACCGGCCACCTTCCGCCGCGCAGCTCGGCGACGGGGGAGCGGCTGGAAGCCGGTGACCGCCCTTTTGTCCAAACAGGAGGGGAGGAGATGGGCTCCGTCCTTCCCGAGGATGCCAGGCGCCGCAGCAGCGCCGGCGGACAGACGGATCGACCGCCAAAACTCGGGATCCGCCCCGCGCCGCCGCCGCAGCGCCCCCCAGCGGCCGGGCGGGCGCCGCTCCTGGAAACGGCCGCGCGACCGACCCGCCCCCCGCGCGGCCAGCGGCGCGTGCGCAGCGGCGCCGCGCGCGCCTCCCGAGCTTTGGCGCTCCCTCCCGCGCAGCCAATGGCAGCGCCCCGAGCCGAGCCGGCCATTGGCGGGCGCGGCCCGCGGGGAGCGAGAGCGTTCGGGCGGCGGAGCCGGGCACGCTGATTGGGCGATGCGCGCGCGGCGCCGCCCAGCCCCGCCCCCGGTGACGTCACGGCGGCCGTTGGGCGGGAACGGGGGTGGCTGTTCCCGAGGGAACGGGCGCGGGCGGCCGGGCGCGGTGTGGGGAAGGGCACGATGTCATCGGTGTATTTTGTCTCAGGTATTTGCTTTCAGGCCGGCCAGCCTTGAATCCCCGTACCAGTGAGTAGCTCGGGGTCTTCAGGGAAAGAGCCGCTGAACATCCCACCCTGCTGTCCCCCTTCCTACCTAAAAAAAGGGAAAAAAAGGTTCCACTCGGATTAATTCACGTGACGTTGTTTATATCCTCGGCTTTGTTTTCTGTCCGTTTTTGCCATCGGAATCAGTTAGATGAGGCTGAGAAACAGAATCGCTGGGGATGGAAGGAACCTCTGGAGATCGCCCAGTCCCACCCCACGCAATGCAGGGTCACTGCTCGGGACTCACTCCGGTTGGGTTTGAATGGCTCCAGACCGGGAGACTCCACCAGCTCCCTGGGCAGCTTGTCCCAGCACTCTACCACCGTCAGCATAAAGAAGTTCTTTGTCACGTTGAGGCAGAACTCCTCGTGTTCTAGTTCACGTACAGAACGTGGAAAATTTGATTTCCATGCTGAAGTGCACATGACACTTTTTTTTTAAGTAGAGGATGTGAGCAGGTCCCTTCCGAATGTGTGTGTGTGTGTCTGTGCACATAAAAACTTCAACAGAGCTACATCAAAGTCAGTGCTGTCCAGGATGTTTTCACAACGCATTTCTACAGTTGCATTCCTGGTATGGAGAGTGCAAAAATCTACAACATTTGTCATAATCAGAAATTCATACTGGTTCAAATATGCTCAAACAAATATGCTCAAACAAATATGCTCAAAACAAAACCAAACAACAACAAAAGCAAAACCACCACAGACACAAGCCACACACACACAAAACCAAAGAAAAACAAAACCACCAATGCTATCTCATGGCTTCTACAAGACCCAAAAACTCCTGATCCTGGCAGTTCAAACTAAGATGTGCTCAAAGTACAGAAGTAGTAGAAGAGCTATTGCAGGTATTCTTTCAAAAGAAGAAAAAGGAGCACAGCCTTGAAAAGTGCTGCATAAATTTAAAATATTGTGAGTACCTGCTGTAATTATCACGTTCAAACTTTCAAAGCCCTTCTATAATCATCCCTCCTAGAGTTCTGCTGCCTATGTCTAAGGGTCCATATCCTGCACAGAAGGATGGTTCACAGGCTTGAGTCAAGGGAATAGAGGGAAGCATGAGTTTGAGGAAGCAAAGGTGGAAAATCAGGGATGTGGATCGAAGGCTCCTGGTTTGGAGAGAGGTCAACACAAAATAGCAGGCAGGGCAAGGCAGGCATCAGCCAAAAAACCAGCCTGAGTTCATTTGCTGAGATTAAAGTACGTGGCCACTGTGTTCTAACATGATTGTTTGCACTGAAACTTACAGCATGTTTCCACCAGTAAGAAGTGTGATTGGAATTAGGATCGCTAATAATAACACATGTTCATCATAGAGGAAAATAATGTGACCATGCTGAATAAACTATTAACAATGCACTACTAGAAGCTGCAAAAAAATTGTCATTACTCTAACTGGTTAATATGTGACCTCTTTGAGGGTTAAGACATGAATTCTGCAAATGGTTTAACACTTCAAAAGTATGTTCTGTTGCTTGCATACTGAGAAAGTTTGTTCTGGTTTAGGAATATACCCCAGTGTAATAGTGTTGATTTTTTTTTTTTCAAACTATTCATTCTCCCTCAAAAGAATAGTTACTTTTCACCCACCATTTAAGCATTATCTTTTAATCATATAACATTTCTGATTACCATACAAAGGTGGCATGGTCTTGTGTTAAACCTTCTCTAGTAAAGGTGTAAAACTATTTTTTTTCTTCTGTTCGCTTCTGTTCCTGTTGGCTGGAAAGTATCAGCAGCCTCCCTCCACATATGTTCAGCAAGCACCAGTGTACCTTATGGGTTTTTAAATTAAAACTTGATTCCTCAGAGCGAAATAAAGAAACAAATGTGGTGGATCTGAGCAAATGAAGTTTTCAGAATACAAGTAAAGCTCATAGGAACTTGTCATTTTGGAAAAATACAAGTTGCCCTCTCTCTTACCTCACAGTAGTGGACTAGTCTATTAGGAAACAGGGTAAGCACACTGAAATATAGAATTGCACGTCGGGTTTCTGCAGCACAAAGGCCTCCTCTCTGCTTCCTCCCCCCATAATCTGCCCAATGAACTCAGCAATCCCGTGCTGTGCAGTAATGCTACTCCTGGGCAATACCATGCATTCTTTGTCCAGCATTATCTTCCTGCGTGTCTTGCACCAGTCTGAGTCAGTGCCAACACCCTGATCCACAGCAGTGATGTTCCTGTGCTGACACAGCAGAAAACACACTGACATTTTTCAAGCCAGCACTTTCTTCAAAATGTCCTGACTGAATTCAATCACTGGAAAAGAATTGAGAGGTAATGTGAAACCCAACAGTTCTAGCAGTCTCCACAGATCTCCAGCATTCCTATAGAAAAAAAACAGACCGAGAATATGCAGCTGCACATCAAGAATGGCACAAAAGCAGAGCCAGGAGAGTGGATACCCAAATCAAAAAACCTACCTTCGTCAGGAATCTACTAAAAAATTATTCCAAGGAAAAACATACAAATACAGACCTTTCAGAACAAGTTTATTAGTCAACCACAATTATAAAATTTAAATATTTATATAAGAAGATGGAAAAATCTTAAGTAACCAAACACTTCAAGTTATTTTGCTGCAGTATACACAGGAATGGTTTTGTTAACAAGCTGATCAAACATAATTCTTCACTCACAAGTGTCTTGATGGCATGTCTAATTTTGAATGCATTTCACACGTAAATGCATGATACCAAAAGAAAAAATTAAAGACCATACTAAACTGATTCAAAAAGGAGAAAAAAAAAAAACAAAAACAAAAACCAGGCACATTGAAGTCATCTACTCCATAAAGAGCTCATGGCTAATACTGTTTATGGTACCAAAATTCAAAGGGTACAAATTAATATGGTCTTTGATACATAAATAACACATTCTAAATGTTTTTTGTTTTGCAAAACATGCATAAAATTCCCACATTTTTTAAAAAGTCTTCTGTACCAGAGAAGGAATACAAAGGCAGCCAGAAATGGAAGCATTCACACAAACACCAGAATAAGGCCCTTCAGAATTCATTTAAAGTAACACCTTAAACCCCTTCATTCTCAGGTAAAAGATTAAGAGGCCGAGATACACATCGTCTGCGAGGGTGAGGATACTGCAGGTTGGCAGTGCCAGCATCACAAGACTGCTCTATCAGAGGAGGAGGAGGAAGGAGCTGGGCATGACTGGACCATCTCGATCCAGCCCGTGGGGAATCCAGAGGGGGAAAGAAATACCTGAAACAATTAAGAAAGGAACAAAACACCAAAACAAAACAAACAAAAAACAAACAAACAAAAATAAACCAACAAAACAAGAAAAGAAGAGAAAGGTAGTAAATACAAGGAGAACCAAAGGGGAGAAAAGACATGCTGGAAAAAAAAAGGCTTTAGTATATCCATGCCAAAACCAATAGAACATAATAGCAGAAATCAAGACTTGTAATTCAAAACAAGACAAATCTGGAAACTCTTCTTTAAAGTAAAATAATAATCTTTTCCACTGAAATTCACTGAAAATAATACCACAGTCATAGTCCTAGCATACATTTTTAAAAAGAATGGATTGCTTTGGAAGTCAAAAGGGTGGTGGAGTACAGCTATTAACAGGCTTTCATTCTTCCAGAATTTCTGTGATTTGTTAACAGCTTTCAGTAATGCTTTGTTTGTGACACAAAATATACATTAAATATTACCAAAGTACATTTGCTGCATATGCATCTAATTCAGATTAACTTTACAGCGTTTCTAGAATAGATGTAAATCATCACTTTTTACATTAATGATATACATTTACAGAGAATAACTATTTTGAATGAAATACAGTCTTTGTGTCTATTTACATATTTCTGCAAAATCCTCAGTGTAAATTCAAGATTCCTGGTGAAAGCAAGATTCAGAATTATGCCACTCCATGTCATCTTGCTGCTGTTTCTATTAGAACTTACCCGTAACACTTGTGCATTTTAGTATAACTATATTGTTTTCTGTCTTGTTTACAATTCTGTGGACTTACATCAAAGAACAGCTAACAGTTTATTAATGAAATTATGGGACAATTAACAAATAGTTGCATTTTGGTTTATATCTCTGTATGGCTAAAGTGTTTGCATTTTTCAAGAATACTGCATTTAGAGAATTTAAGTACTCCATGTAATTACAACTATTACCATAGGAATGTACAAATATGTAACAGAAAAAGTACTTCTTTTAGAATGAAGTATGACAGTACTTACAAAACATTTATTTGAAGTCATACTAAAGAATAAAAATGAAGCAATACCAAACAATTAAAAGCCATAATCACAATTGTCCAAACAGTTTTCTTACTCCTTCAGAACTAACAGTTGCGTATATTACAAAGCAGTTACAACCTTGTAATGTTTAGGAATTTCAATCAAATGCTGAACACTTTGAAATGCAAAACAAATTGGTTCTCAAAACAACTTTAATGAAAGTTATTGTAATGGTCGCTTCCCTCCTCCCATCCCAATCAAGGACAAAAATTCTTGGTTTTAATCATGAACTATCTTTTAATTTTACAAGTTTTCAAAAATATGTTCTGATGGAAGTTTTGGGTTTTGGGTGGATTGTTTATGTTTTTTTCCAAACAAGATGCCTCTCCAAATATTTTTCTATCGGGCGTTCCATCAGTATCAAACTGTGCAGGCAAAAAACGCACACAACGTGTTTTAAAAAGGCTTTTTGAACAGTATTTAGTAGTTAGCAGGCTGCTGGTGTCTTGGGAGAGGTCAAACGGCGCTGGGGAAGGGGAAAAAGGAGATCGTTTTCCATTCCTGTGTGCATGCAACAAGCAGCAAAACACCAAAGTTACTCCAGTTAGCTTGGTATCAGCTCTGCTTTCTGTTAAAAAGGACACAGTACAAATGGAGAATGGAAATTGTATCATAAATCTAGACACACAATTATATTAACATAATAATACAGCCGTACTCGTTTATTTCCTAACAATCTACAGCACATGTTCTGAAATTTGTTTTGAGTATAAATCCAGTTGGGTCATAGTGCTTTTATAGCCTTTTCCAGATCTGCCTGTTCTGTAGCTGTTTTAAGTGTTTAAATGTACAGACATGAAACACAGCATGTACAGACAGACAAATTAAGTTATGTGTAGGATACCTATTTAGTCAAATGCCAATGCTTATAAATCTTTATCAGCATGTTAACACTAACACAGAGGTTAGCGACTGTGCTTACACAACTCAGGCCAATATCACTACAAAAGAAAGCATGGAGTAAAGTGTGCAGCTTTTATTATAAGACTCAATCCTAGGACAAGATACCGCATGTCCCAAAATTTCACAGCCACTGACTTAATTCTGGAAATAACATTGTCTTACAAATTGGAGGCAAGAATAATTTATTAAAAAACAAAACACTTTCCAAAATACAGAGCAATTAAGGGGATAGAAATAATGCTAGAAGTTTCAGTTGCACAATGACTTAGCACCAAGTTCAGAGACAAGAGAAGAGACACCAGTGGGGTGGGGATGGTTAGTCTTGGTGGCAGTAGTCTTAGATAAGGAGATTGTGAAACCACACCCTATGCTAAAGAGCTGTAGAACAGCCTGCATTTCCCCACAGGAGCTCAAGCAAATACAACCACACAGCTCTGCACATACCATTTCCAAGGCAGGGCTGCATTTCATTTGCTACACTGCAAGACGGACCTGGAACCATGACCAAAATCATTTTGCTGCCCTTTCTTGTAGGGACCAGGTCCATTACCACCTCTTGTGTTCACATTTATCTTGTGAGGAAAATGTGAAACCTGTTCTCTGCTCAGCAGGGTTAGGGATTTTGAACTGCCATTCAGGACTGACTACTCAAAGGGCAAGAGGGGCTGGTGCTACTCTCTAAAAGTAAACTTTACTGATAAGCATTCCAAACTGAAAAAAAACCTCACATGAATAGCTGTACATGGATGGAAAGGGAAACTATCTCATGGCATTTGAAACAAAGATGGCCACAAAACTTGAAAACTGCTGCTGGCCACATCTCATCCTTGTACAGGACTTAGAATTCTGTAAAGCTTATTGTACACACTGCACCATACAGATGCAAGACTCAGCGTATTTCTACATTTCAGTGTGCACAAATGAAAATGTTTTTTCAGAAGAGGCAGTAAAATTTACCCACTAAACAGCAACTATTACAGAATAAAACCTTTTCGGTTTAGGGGAATTTTTTTCCATTTTGATTGCCTTTTGGGTTAGTTTTAAAAAAATCACAAAACTTTTATTCAATTGATGCTACACACCTGCAAAAACCAAGTAAACTAACACTAATACTTGATTGTTGAAACTGTATGTTTTGAAGTAGCTTTTCTTCCTTCCATTCTGCTACATTATCCCAGAGAAAAATAGAATTTGTTGCTGGTATTTTTGCTTTACTTTTCAACATGTATTTAAAACAAAAGGGCAGTTACCCACCAGTAGGATGAAGCTTCTCCTTCAAAACTATTCCAGAAATGTTGTTTTTAATAATATGAAAGTACTAAAAATTAAAATAGTTATTTACACTGCTTATTTATACAGACTGATTCGGTATGACTTACTGTTTTGTTCATTTTCCCCTTAACACTGGCACAATAGACAAACCACAGAACAAAACCAGAGGAGCTTATAGAAATAAGTACTCATGCAATAAATGGCATTGCACTTTAAAAATATGAGAGATAAATGACATGAAGATTCAGAGAAAATACTATTTACTGAAATTCAGTCTCTCTACTATTTAACCTACCTGCTGGCAGATGATCCATTTAGTGAATTCTGCAGACTTGTATTGGCTGAACCTAGAGAGGCATTAAAAATTCCCTGCTGAGAACTACCATTCACCGGACTCCCATTACCTTTCAGTATACCAGTACACTTCCAGTTGTCCATGTAATTAGCTGCAAACACAGATATATAGAAACTGTTAGTTTCTCTTCTGAAGCTCCACTTTCCCTACAATTATGTTTCCACTGCCCCACATCTGGTGTGAATCAGAACTGAACTTCAATACCAATATATAAATTCCAAAAAGCTGAGGATCTAGCCCTTTAGCTGCCTGATATTCTCTGCCTGTCCATGTTTTTGATTTTTTGTTTGTTGTGGTTTTTTTTGGTTTTTTTTGTTTTTTTTTTTTGCTTGCTTGGTTGATGAAGGGGGTGCATATATTTTTTTGTTTTCTCTTAAAAAGGTCAACAGAAAAAAACCATTTGCCTGGACATTGTGACTGAATGTAGATTTTCTAGGTTTAGCAGCAGGAAAAGATCTGTCTTTAACATGAAAACTTTATGTTGCTCCAGTCTGGTGAAACAATTTCAGGGTACAATAACAACTATTCGCAGCAGCCTAAATCATGCAAGTATTTCAGCACAGGAAGTTATTTCTGAATTCTGTTTTTCTTAAACAGAAAAATAGAAAAAATATCTCTCACAAATCTAAAATGAACACTTGGTCCAAAATTATGTTTTGAGTAGAATTTCTCAAGTATATTAAGCAGATACAAAGTTGATGTGTTTCAAGTGGGTAACCTTACCCTTCCAGAGCCTAACACAGCCATCATCACCAGAGGAGGCAAGCACCGTGCCTGTAATATTCCAGCTCACTCGCCACACCTGGGAGTTGTGATTATCAAACTGTGCCACAATATGAATTTCAAATTTTGTTAATCCTCCTGATGAAGTCAATTCTTTCCTGTTTAAGACAAAAGTGACAGTTCTGCACACAACTGTTCAAAGGTCTGGGCTTGAACATGATGAACTACATCTTTCTAATAACAACTGTTATTAGATAAGGTATTCAGACAAAATCATAGACTTGCTCACAATCTTACCACCTTAAAAATCAAGTTGTTAAAAACAATCCTGCATACATTATTAATTTTACTTTGCAGAGACAATTTGAACAAGACTGTATAGTATGCATCAGATCACACAAAATCACAAAATAATCTTCCTATTAAGCTCACCTTAGAGGTTTTAGGGTGAATATTCGTACATCTTTGGTTGCTACAGCTAAGATGTGGAAGGATCTTCCCAGATTTGGAGCAAATGCAATGTCATGTACAGGATCTGAAACTGTCATCAGAGCTTCTGCTTTTGCGTATTTCCTGTACAGTGTAAGAAATTAACCTTTAATGCCATGAAAATTGCCAGTGATGCAAATTATATAAACCAGATATAGTGGAAATGGGAAAAAGGGTTAAGTATATACAATAAGACTTCCAAAAATAAATATTTTTTTAACATAAATTTAGGCAATAATTTCAAGCACATTTATTCAGAAATTGAATCTATCAGATACAGTAGCCACTAAGTACAGTATGCTACAATATTGTAGGTCACACAACAAAGCAAGAATTGCAGTACAAAGAACGTTTTTGTCTGCAATTAGAAAAGGGAAATTAAAAAAATATTCCATTCACAAATCTATAGGGAATTTGCATCTCAGTGACTCACTAAACTTTCCATGCTTTTAAGCACACCACTGTCTGCCTCCTCTGCTGTATGACAAACACATATTCCATTTTCTCAGTAAGTTACAGTAACTTTATTGTTAATGCATGGAGAGCATTGCCTGAAGCTGGGCATAAAATCCACAGAACACTCTGGCTCCTTTCCCATATAAGTCACTCCCAATCAAACAATTCCTCTGTTATCACTTAACTGGAAGTGGCGGTGCACAAACTTACTAGCCTCTTCTGGTTTTGTGAACTCTTGATTATACAGCCTGAACTTTGACAGACCATGAGCAATTCACAGCACTTTCTGTCATTCTAATCAAACCTTTAAAATCATTGTAAGGTGGCTTTGAACAAAACAGTGCCTGGTGCAACACAACTCAAATTTCAACTGTGCAAAATTAAACATATAATTTAGTAGACACAGAAACAATAACTCTTCCTTTAAAAAGCTGGTAAGAACACTGACATTTCTGAACTGACAGAGAATAAAATTATCAATATAATTTCTGTTAACACCAGTTACCATTCTGAGGTCTCCCTCTCTTCTCCTACCCAATGGTTCACAGACAAAATTAAGGTATTATTATTTACTACTCCATATCTAATTATAGGAATAAAAGATCATATACTATAAACACCTTCATGATCCCACATTGTTATTTAGCATACCTGGTATTTTCATTATATTCATAAATTTGAACCTTAGCCAGTATATTTGGACTATTGTCATCACTTCCTACAGCAATCATTGGAGAATGTGCTCGAGAGCTAAAAGGTGAAAACAAATATTGTTGTATTTACATATTAGATAGATATATAGATATATAGGTATATATTATATATAGTATTTCCCACAAAAAGTACACCAAGACATTTGTTAAATTTCAAACATTATCTATAGAGAAAACAAAACACCACAAAACATTACAAGGAAAAAATCACAAAGAAACAGGAGTTAAATGCTGTTCAGTTATCTTCACTCTGTTGCTTTGAAAGCCCCCTTTATACACTCATAAAGGTGAAATCATTGGACAACATTACTTAGCAATTCAAGATGATGTTCTCAGAGAGTAGAATGGACTTTCTATAATAGACTGCATCTGCAGTCTAGTATTTGCCAGAAGTTTAATAGCAGAGTCTGCATTTTTTGCAATGCTTTTAATTATTGATTTAGTGATATTTCATTCAGGTTTTGGAAGATACAGTACATAAGCTAAACGTAGATGAATTCTAGTTTTTAAATAAACTTTTGTTCTGTCCCATGCATTCAAATGAATTCCTGTATGCCAAACCTTCAGCACATACTAGTGCTAATGAATAGAAAGAAGAGTAACTGGATCAGCAGGACACAACACTGTGTCCACAGGGAAAACCATTAAGTGCTTCTGGACAAACAGAAATTAAAGCAGTTCAGCTTTGAATGGTTTTTCCCTTCCTCTTACAGACAAAAAGCAAGTGTTTTAGTAACATACCTCGAAGGATTCCAAGAAATACAACTGCAGCTGAGCTTACAAGAGATTTCATGCTGCAGTGACCACTGGCTGAGATTCATCACATCTGGAGCTTCATAGATCCTTACAACTCCATCTGCTGAACAGGTTGCTAACATAAGACCCATGTGCTTGGGAGCGAACTTCACATCTGTAACAGATGTTCTACTGTCTACTAGAGTGGTCCTCTTGACCTGAAAAGAAATTTCCATCAAAAATTTATTCCCTAAGGAAGGCCAATCAAACTCTGACAACACCATTTTTTAGGCTTGCTTACATTTTCCACCAAAATAATTCTCCCTCTCAGCTTTTCTATTGTCTGAAAGATGAGCAAGAACAGCCAGTGTTTTTCAAATTATCTCTTGTCAAAGAAAAACCCAACTTTAACTCTACTAAGTGGGAATTCATGTCGGCATGTTGTTTCCCAGGGAACATCTTATAATAGTGACACAAATTGGCCTGAATGTAGCCAGTTAACTGTGTTCTTCAAATGTTTTAAAAATACTTAATTTGTGTTGGAATGTAGCCACAAATGAGCAAAACATAGCCAAAATCAGTAACTTTATAGCTACAGAAAAGAAGTCTCACCCAGTGACTCTGGCCTCGGAGTTTATCATTTGATTCTCCCACTATTTCTTCCCATACGGCTGCTGTTCTATCAAACGAGCAGGAAGCCAGAACCTGCCCAAATTCAGGATGGGCCCATGTCACACGCCACACTGATCCACTATGTGTCTGCAAGATAACATCAGAACACTGCAGAGAAGCAAACTTACTGTGTTAGGCCAAGGAACCATATATTTTCATGACTTTCTGAAGAAAAGAATCCTAGGAAGTACTAACACTGTTCCTCTGAAACCTATGTTCTTTTATACAAAGTTACACAGCAGCTGCTGCAGTTCTTTATTCCAACCAGCACTGCAAAGTTGTTGCTCTTAGTGTTTAGAATGCAATTATTACACACGTATTTCAAGGCATTATTAATACTTTAAGTTCCAAACTATAATTCTGCTTTGATGCAAAAAAGTACATTTTTGTTCTCAATCAAATTTCAGCCATTACCATGTTCACTTCTAGCTTGCCTGTACTTTTCATTTTTAGTCTTCCTTTTATTATGAAGTTCCTTTATACCTAGTAAACATAACATTCCTGTCTTAGAGAAGGGGAATTCAAAAGCCTTCCTTGCATTGCCATTTACAGGAATGAATGCATTGTCGTCCTATTAAACTTAAGTTTAGGAACAACTCAGAAGCTGAATGCACTAATTATCCAGATGAAGCAGAGCCTCTATATGACACAATTCTCAGAAAGGTTTTGGAGAACAAAAAGCAAAGGTCAGATGTTGTAACATTTAATAGCCAGATATCTTCCTTTTAATTTTCCCCCCTTTTATTTTTTTTAAGTGTTACTATATGTAAAAGGAAATACTGAATTAAAAATTAAGGTACTGTTTTCTACTCCTTGAACACCAGCCACTGATAATCTTTACTAATACTAATCTGCCAACATAACTAGGTACTAACGAGAGCAGACTGCATGTTAGCGCCTGCTTTAAGTGAGAGGCACTAGGAATGTTTCATCAAGCAAAGCAAAAGTATTTTACACAAGACATGCAGAATCTACATCAAACCAAAAGCATTTCTGCTCTAAAATTCAGCAGAAATAAAGCATGTTTCTCTAAAAACAAAGAAGAAATAATGATTATGTCTGTGTAAATTTTATAAGTACAAACCTTCCAGCTGGCAGTGCAATGCCAATCTCCATTTTCACTTTTGTCCCAGACCTATTGAGAAATCAAAATACAATCATACAGTTTGTAAATAATCCGTACTGACTAGTACTTTAAAGACACAACCATTCATATATATATATATATATATGTATATATATATAGAAATAAACCAAAAACATACACACACACCCCTCTAAACATTTTCATCCAGGACATTGTATCTGGTTCAGTACAAAATTGCACTTAACTCCACGATTAAACTATCCCTATTACTAGTAAGGAGAAGAGGTACTGCCTGCAAAACCCACTATTATATAACTTCTATCTCTTTTTGAACAGTAAATTACATAGAAGAGAAATAACTAAAATTCCCAATAGTCCATTCACTTTGTTCCAAGAGTACACCATTCCGTTTCATTCTAGAGCCCCCAATTTCCTCACATGCTCAGCTCTGGTTGCTAAAACCCAAATGCAGCTCCCTGCATTCACCCCAAAAGCAGAGTATGACAGTAAAATATACATCAGGTAGTGGGGGAACAGATCTTGTTTCTTTTCATGAGATTTCTGCCTTGATTTTTAACCAAATGCAAGTCACTGAACCTTCCCCTCTCTTCATTTCCCATACACCTTTATACTTAGGAGTTTTTTACTGAAAAATTATGTAGAAAGTCATGAACATAACCAAATGAAAGACACCACCTGACACTTACTCCTATTTGTCACTCATTCACTTTAAGGCTGTACTGAAAGTCACCTCAAGCCTGCCACTCTGGCTCTCTAACACAACCTGGGTCATGTTGTCCCTCTGGTTGGAGGAAAACTTCTTAACAGTCTCATAAAGGATTCAGTTATGACTGGAAAGTAACATTACACTGCTAAAGAACAGTTTCCGTGTTCATCCTCCCTCCTGGCATCTTTTTTAAGAACTGCACACCCTAGGTAGTCAGTCCAAATCAAAGATCCCCATGGCTTCGGCTTACTTTCTGGGGAGGACCATTTAATCGTTATTTGTTATTTGCTTTCTAGTCTGTGGTCAGGGAGAAGGGGCTGTTTCCTTGTTTTTAAGCCTAATCTACATATAACACAGCTTTCTACAAAAAAAATTCACTTTCTCAATCATTTATCTGGATTTAATAACAAACATGTCCTCTCTCTGCAAATTAGATTTCTTAAATCTATCCACGCGACTCCCGAATATTGGCCCATCTTCTCACTATACACAAAAAAAGGAAAAAAACAATCAAGTTTTCGTTAAAGTAAGTATAAAACGCTATTTTATTTCCTCTAAAGGACCGTAAAAATTAAGGCTTCTAGTATTCTACACTTTCCCCAGGCGGTCAGGGAACACACGGAACACTCCGGCTTTTTGCTTGCCGGCACTTCACCTTCTTCCCATAATAAATACAGATTACTGGCACTACATTACGAAACAATAGGTTTTTGGTAAGCATTCTTTAATAAGCACGGATTTTCAGCTGAATAAACTCCACGAGCGGCAGGGCTGCAGGCACAGCAGTCGGGAATGTTTTCCCTGCCGCAGCACTGGGTCGGAAGCGGGGCTGCCGTGTGTACACGCGTTCGCGTACACACGAACACAACGCGCACCGCGTGCTACAGCCTCCCGCCCCACGGCCCGACACCGCACCGGGACCCGCCGCGGACCGAGCCCCCGGCTGCGCCCGAGCCCGGCCCCACCCGCAGCCCGGTAGGCCGCGCACGCCCGGCGCCGCGGCGCACGGCCGGCACCGGGCCCGGCGGCTCCCCGCTCACCTTGACGCTCTGGTCGCTGGAGCAGGTGGCCATGCGGCGCCCGTGGAAGTCGAAGGACACGTCGTGGATGAGGTCGCGGTGATCCGCGGCGATGCTGCGCGCCACGAACATCCCGCCGCGGCCGCCACGCGCGCGCGCCTCACGCGGCGGGGCGGGGCTGCGGCCGCGCGCGCAGCCGCCAGAGCCCGTCGCGCGCGCAGGGGGCTGCTCCGCGCGTGCGCGCTCCTTCCCCCCGCCGGGAAGGGCGGGGAAGGGCGGGGAGCCGAGCCTCCCGCTCGGGGGCGGGGCGGGACATTACACCCCTGCCGCGGCTGGCTGCGACGTGTACCCTCGCGAAGCGACGGGATAGAGGATGTAACCTCAAGCTGCCTAACCTAGGGGAGGTTTAGGTTGGACATTAGGAGGAATTTCTTCTCAGGGAAGGTGCTTAGATGTTGAAGTGGGCTGGCCAGAGGGGTGGTGGAGTCACCGTCCCTGGAGGTGTTTAAGGGAGGACTGGACGTGGCACTTGGTGACGTGGTGATGTTCGGTCTCGATGATCCCGGAGGTCTTTTCCGACCGAACGGGTTCTGGGATTCCGTGGTGTTGCTGTGCCCGCGGCGCCCTCGGAGCGCGCCGAAATCGCGCTCCATGGCGGGTCCGAAAAGCCGCGGAGGTCGCTGTGGTAGTGCAGATCAACTAACACTCAGCGCGGCGCTGTGCTGCATTTGCTCCCTGTGATGTACTGCATTTGCTTCGTTAATGATTTACTGTATTAATGAGCCCTGTCCGATGAGTCTTGCGGGGCGAAAGAATGTGTCTCGGGGAAAGATTTGGGAGGATGAACTGCATGACCGACAGCGCAGGCAAGGGAGGAATCCGCGGACAGGTTGAGAAACTCCTATGAGGAAAGACTAAGAAAATTAAGGTTGTTCAGTTTGGGAAAGAGATGGCTTAGGGGTGACTTAACTGTGGCCTTCTAGTACCTGAATGGGAGCCTACAAGAAAGAGAGATATTTTTTACAAGGGTAAGTAGTAACAAAACAAGAGGGAATGGCTTCAAACTCAGAATAGGCTCAAGTTGATATTAGGAATAAATTCTTTACTGTGAGGGTGGTAAAGCACCGGAACAGGTTGCCCAGGGAAGCTGTAGATTCCCCATCCCTGGAAATGTTCAAGACCAGGCTGGATGGGGCATTGGGCAAGCGGGTCTAGGAAACATGTCCCTGTCTGTGGCAGGGGAATTGGAAGTAGATGGTCTTTAAGGTCCTTTCCAACCCAAGCTATCCAATGATTCAAAGTGAGAAGCGATGTGTTTTGGAAAAGTACCAGACTATGAAGTAGAAGAAGCAGAATAGAGCCTGGCATGCGGTAGAAAACACATCACGAGTGACTGAGCCCTGGACGGGAGCTATAGACCAGTAATGACTGGTCTGTAGTCAACGGGCTGCGCAAAATAAATGAACCACAGCAGATGGAGACTCTTGAGGGCTCAATAGTTTCACCCGTGACCTACAGCCTTTCAAGGAACTCCTCACTAGAAGAAGCACTTTCTTCCAGTTTGTGTCCTGCAGTGTCCTCTCACAAACTGGGTCATGGAGCTCACATGCCAATACCTTTTAAATACCATTCATTTGCTCTATACTGAGCACAAGACTGTTACAGCATCTTGTTTTTAAGGAATGTTTCATCTGCAAGCTGTGTTATTTACTGACTATTCTGAAGATAACTACAATAGTGGACAAATATTAGCAAAGAGAAAATAATTCATGCACTGTATTCCAAACAGCAATAATGCAGTCAGTAGATTGAAAAAAAAATTATGACTGTGGCAATAAACACAAAAAGCAAATACATTTGTATTTAACTGGTTTATATTTCAGGACCAAAACAGTACTGAAGTAATCAGAACACCTCCAATGCTTTAAAGCTATGGTCCAGTTTTCCAATCATATAGTAAGTGAAAAAAGGAAAGGATGTAACTCCCTGATACCAGATATATTCAAATTCTCTGGATTCAAGTCAGATTCAGACCTTTTCTAGAAGACTTTGGTAACTGCAGCTTTAACAGAAAATTTGTTCTGACCTTTTCAAAAAGACTATTGCTACTCACTACCTCATTTAAATTTTCAAGTTCATAGCAATGAGAAGTCAATTTCTGTCCATTCAGTGAATACAATTTGTTCAGAGATGTTCAAATTCTTCACAGAATTATAAAGAAACTGTTATGTGCTTGTGAAATAAACCTGACAGTTTGGTATTTAATGTATTTGGTTTTACAAACTGCAAACTACATTCAGTAGGGACTGATGGAGGTGCTGTTATCACATGCCAGAGGGATCCTTTCACTCTTTCTGCATAACCTGCATGTAAAATATGCAAGTGTTTAGCACCCTAATGCATGAGTTTCATTGGCAGGCCTTATATTAAGAGTAGATATGGTGGTACCCAAATGTGACAAGGAATTATAATAGATAGAGAATAATAAATTAAGATAAATTACAATAAATTTGGACTTGGAGGTACACCATGGCTTTAAAATGCTAGAACTCAATTATTTTAGTAATACTTGGTAAGGAAAACTTAACATGTTGAAAAATGTATTCTTGCCCAAGTACAGCAAATATGATAAAAAATGCTTTCAGTTACAGAGGGTCAAAAATGTGGAAGAATTTGGAAGGAAAATCACTAGCTGGTTTTACATTATTGTCCAAGCTGGCCAGTGATAGTTTTAAAATTCTATTTTTTAAATACTGCAGAACTAAATCTCAGTGGATTACAACAGCTGGTGCTGAAAAGAGGAATTTGTAAGAAAATTGTCAAGAAAATTTAGCTATCTAAGCTTTACCTGTTTATATTAGTGGAGAAATTTAGTTGGCATTTATAAATAAGAGAAAACTTGTAAAGCATTTTAAAAAATGAGAAGTCAATGAAAGGAAGAGGTTAATATTTTCTGATTTCTGAAGATGAGCTGGTATTACACAATTCCTCTCCTAGAGGGAACCTCATTCTGGGATCTAGGGCTATAGTACAAATAACCTTTTTTTTTTCCTTGCAATCACATGTAATCACTTTGGAAGTTGAAATTTCAGTATTTTCTAAACAATGACTAAATTTTAAGTAATGAAATAGAAGAAGCAAGCAAATGTGATTGTGACTGTTTCAGTGCTGTAATTAGAGAGGTAGTAAATTTTTCATGCTATTCTCATAAGTAAGAAAAACAAACAAACAAACCAAAAAAAGGCAAAGATCCCCAAAACAAATAGTAGTAATGCATGTATTTAGATTGTTAAGGAGAAAGATTTTTTTTTTAATCTTTCAGCATAATTGAGACGTGTACTTTGAAACTTCAGTTATTGCTTCATTCAAGCAGCTGGAGAGACAGTGCCTAATAAAAACATTAAAGCTGACTTATAAATTCTTTAGTCTGTGACAGTGTATCTGAACGGTTGATTTTTTTAGTTATTTGGGGAAATGTCTTTTACTGTAAACCACTGACTATGTTTATAAAAAACTGCATTTTTTTCAAAACAATTGTTTCCTGTCAGTGATTCAGCTGTCAAAACCCAATTCTTTTGCAATTTTAGTAATGTAATGGTTTTGTTGAGATTTGAATATGTTTCTACTAGTGAATGAATATCTTTTACCTGCTCAAATAACAGTAATAATAGTATAGTTGCAGCAGGGCAAAACTGTCAGATTCACAAATAACTAGCCTCAATCATTTTCATTTGAACAATATATAAATATGTAATGGTATCACAAAGGCACATTTTGACCTAAAATATTTGTTTTCTCTGACAAGACACAAGAATTGTACACTTCAAGTCAAGATTAGGCTTTATTTCTAACATTTTAGTTTGGTTGGTAAGCAAAAAAAAAAAAAAAAAGAAAACCAAACCCAAACAACAATTTTTTTTAAATAAATGTACACATACACAAATATTTGTTCATTTTTAAATATAACCAGCCCCTGACCTCATTCTCTAGATTCAAAGCAAGTTATGTCAGTTTAGATTTATTTAGAAACTGGGTCCAAAATCATCACTTTAAAAAATCCAGGAAATGTGGGTGATTGTCATCCCAGAACCTTAGTTTACTGGGGTGTCTGTCTGGTTTTAATCAGTACCAGGAATGAGATAAATACATTTACCTCATGTATCCAATTGTATCAGGTGTTTTCAGTTAGTAGAAAGACTGATACAGAATGCAGATTCAATAGAGGAAACACTTCATAGTGAAACATCAGAATTAGCAAAGGGATGAGGGGACAAGATACACTTTGTTAAGGCAAGCTGTCATTAAATAGCCAATTAGGATGGAAGGCATCCAGTCTAATGAAGAGGCACTCACATTTTCTGGGGAAGTGAAACAACATTTGTTTAAATTCTTTTAAATGGCCAGAGTATCTCTCGCATTAAAAGTAAAACAAAATTTGTTGATCTCTCTGGACCTCTTCAGGAAGATTTCAAATGTTATCAAAAATTGGCTGTAAATGTTAACATGCTACATCAAAAGAGGGTTCTTCCAATGATGTAACATGAACACAAGTTATCTTGGACCACAGAAGTCTTGACATCTGGGGTAGTATGGTAAATGAGATGGAAATCACATGGAAAAACAGTATGTGAGCGTTTTCCTTTTGCTTCCTCACCTAGGTTTAATATAAATCTTTGTTATGAATAAATACTTCAATTTCTTTTTATCTTAATCTAGGCGAAATTAATAACAAATTGAATACTACTGCCTAGTGAGACATTCTTCTTTGAATGGTATAACAAATCCAGAGCGCAAGACACTTAGTGCTGGAAAGTTGCAGCAGTTCTCCGCTGCATTTCCAGAGTATCCAGAGGGTTGTAAAGTTGGTGCACAAAGGGACAGTCCCCACTGCACAGCAGTGGTTGGCAGCTGCCATTGCCAGGTCAGAGGGGCACAAGCATCTGCTGGTGATGGTAACCAGAAAACTTCCTGCCACATAGCAAGATAATGGGAAGCATGCTGGAACTCAGGGAAACCACAGGGAGTTTGCAGGTTCCGGTTAGCTGAGGCATGAATCAGGATTCAGCTACCAGCTAACCTTGAAGACTTCCTCTTACAGTGGAATAGTAAGGAAAGACATTCTGTTTGTGGTGATCGTGTGCATGATGTGGAAAAGTATTTTAACATTATTAT